TTCCAGTCTTTATTCAAATGAAGAGGCAGCCTTCCTCCCTGTGTTCCTTCCTCCCTCTTTTCTTTGCCTCCTCCATCCCTCCTCCACTTGTGGCCCTCCTTCCTCCCTTTCTTCTGGTTCTCAATCCTGGCTGCACATTGCAATCCCCTGGTTTAAGATTCCAGCCATCGAGTCATACCTCGGACCACTTAAACAAGGATCTCTTGGGGGTGGGACCCAGCATCAGTGCTTTTGAAGTCCCCCAGGTGATTCCACTGTGTGGCCAGTGAGGAGAGCCCCCAGGTGAAGTCTCTGAAGATGTTGGAAAGCTTGATTCTTCTTTTGCTTCCTGTAATCACTCCTTTTTTCCCCCAAGTGCTAGAGATTGAACCCAGGTCCTCCCACATTCTAGTAAGTGCTGCACCCCTGAGATACATCCCCAAACCTTTTATTTATTTGTTTGTTTGTTTGTTTTTAAGTTGTAGTTGGACACAATACCTTTATTTTATTTATTTATTTTTATGTGGTGCTGAGGATTCAACCCAGCGCCTCGCACATGCTAGGAGAACACTCTACATATGAGCCACAACCCCAGCCCCCAGACCTTTCTATTTTATTTTGAGACAGGGTTTCACTCCCTTGCCCAGGCCAGCCTCAAATTTGTGATCCTCTTGTCTCAGCCTAGATTGGGGATTTCAGGTGTGGGCCACCACTTTGCGTTCTTAAATCCAAATCTGTCTGTACCTGACCCAGAGGGCATTGGAGTATTCTCCCACCTCACCTCTCCACCAGGCAGCAGCAGATCTGGGACAAGTCAGGGCAAATAATAGACCCCAGCCTTGTCATTCATCCAAGGAAATTCTGCTTGGAAAACAGGGAGGCATACAGCTGAATCTCCAGCCCAGAGGAAACCAAAGATCCCCTCACAACCTCCTAGATTTCCTCCCCTGCACCTGCTCCAGTTCCTACCCAGCTCCACCACCATTCCCTTCTCCCCTCCCCACCTGCCTGTATTCTGCTCCATCCCAGGGGAGAGGGGGATAACAAGCACTTGTGTCATATTCTGTCAGATGGTCAGAGTTGCGTTTTGAAAATATCCTGCTAGTTGCAGGTGCAAGATGAATTGAAACTGGATCACAGCTTCCTAGGAGATTAGATCAAAGGCCGTTAGTAATGCAGTTCTGTTGAGAGATAATGGTCTCTGTGGTGGTGGCACAAGAGAGATAAAGGAGCTGGAGTCAAGGGATGTGTAGAGGATAACTGAGCTTGGTGGTGGAGTGGACACGGGAGAATGGACAGAAGGTATCCCCCAAAAGTTCACGTGCAAGACAATGCAAGAATTGTCAGGGCTTAGGGATACGGCTCAGTGGTAAAATATATGCCTGGCATGTTCGAGGTCCTGGGTTCAGTCACTACCACCCCCTCCCCCAAAGCAATTGATTTGCTCAAGAGTCTGAGGCAGGGGGATGGCAAGTTCAAAGCCAGCCTCATTTTGACTCACAATAGAGCCCGGTGTGGAGGGAAGGGAGGGGAATGAGAATGGGAAAGACAGTCGCATGAATCAGATATAACTTTGTTATGTTCTTAGAGGAATACACGACCAATATAACTCCACGTCATGTACAACCACAAAAATGGGAAGTTATACTCCATGTATGTAGGAGATGTCCAAACACATTCTACTGTCATGTAGAACTAAAATGAACAAATAAAGAAATAAAAAATAACATCAACAACAACAAAGCCAGCCTCAGCAAATTAGCAAGGCCCTGGGCAAATTAGCAAGAACCTGTCTCAAAATAAAATATAGACAGGGCTGGGGATGTGGCTCGGTAGTTAAGTACACTTGGGTTCAATCCTCAATACCCAGCCACCACCCCCCAACAAAAAAAAAAAAAAAGAATTTGCAGCGGTAGCATGATTGAAGTGTGAGACCCTTAACCTAAGCAGTGCATTAGTAGTTAATCAATCCACTGATATGGATTAACTGGGCAGTAACTATAGGCAGGTGAGTTGTGGATGGAAGACGTAGGTCACGGGAGGCATCCCTGGTGAGCCGGGTTCTCTCTGCTTCCTGGTTGCCCTGTCCTGAGCCACCTTCCTCAGCTCTGCCCTTCTCCCATGATGCTTTGCCTCATCTCAGGCCAGGGCAATGGAGTCAGCCATCTATGGACTGAGACCTCAGAAACTGCGGGTACTAAATGAACTTTTCCTGCTCTGCTGTGTCCTTGTCAGGTCCTGTTGGTCATGGTGACGAAATGCTAACTCAAACAAGAGGGAGATGCCAAGGATGACTTGGGATTCTGGTTTGAGTACCAAGATGGATGATGGCATCCTTTCCTGTGACAGACAGATTTCAGAGGGTGAGAGCAAAGAAATGAATTGTTACTCGTGTTTGGGCAAAAGCTCTGGCTTCAGGGGTAGTACATGCCTGTAATCCCAGTGACTTTATTCAGCGTGGCCACACCAAGAACGGAGAGGCCTGAGACCTAAGATCTGTGCTTCCAGGGTACAAACAAGAGCTTGGGGTTTAAATAGGGGAAGGAACGAGAGCAGGGGACAAGAAGTAGCCATCTTCATCAAACCGTGGTCTATCTCAGTTATTTCCATTCTGGTTTTGCGAGGTTCTGCTGGCTCTGAGGAAGTTGCTGGGGGGCAATCTGGTTCCCGTTATGGGATGATGCTGCTTAGCCGGGCAGGCTCGGTTCCCATCGTGATGTGATCTGCCTGCGAGGCTCGCTGCTCCTGGAATCTAGAAAATATCTTAGTTACTCTGATCTTGGTGTTTTCAGCCTTGAAGGGGGAGGATTAGCAGCTTTGGTGAACACTCCTTAAACGATTAACAAGTCTCAGCACAGAGCTGAGCAGGAATCTGACCCAAAGTTTAAGGCGGTAAAGGAGACAGATACAAAATGAAGGCAGAGATGTCAGGCTTTATCCTGCTTTTAGTTACCCATCGGGCACCTGCAGGCCCAAGTGAAGAGTCCGTGCTTTTAGCAAAAGCAGCCTTTAAGCCCCTATTACAGGATGAGTTTGGTTTTGGACAAATTACATTTAATGTACCTTTGGGATATTTAAATGGATATTTGAGTACAGGCAGTAATTTACTCAACAAATACTTACTAAGCCCTTAATGGTGTCAGACACAATTCTAGGCTTTTTCCCTTACAGAGTTTAGATTGTAGCTCATCCCTTTGCCTCTGTGAAGATCCCTGCCCACATGTCCTAGTCAGATGAAAATCCATTTAGTATTCAATAAGATTATTCTGGGAGCTGCCTATATATGTGATATTGAGCTCAGCACTCTCCTTATTGGGAGAAACTATTTCTTACCTTCACTTACTGCCCTGCCAATTTACCCTCTCCTGGTGCCCCCTGACATTACACAAAAACCAACTAGAGCATGCCAGGTGCAAGCCAGACTTTTGTTATGAAATGGGACCTAGTACAGACATTTACCTGGACATTTCAGTAAAACTGTTCACTTCAGAAAAGGGGAGCCAGGTATGGTAGTACATGCCTGTAATCCCAGTGACTTGGGAGGCTGAGGGAGGAGGATTGAAAAAAAAATTGAGGACAGCCTCAGCAACTTAGCAAGGGCCTAAGCAATTTAGAGAGGACCTATCTCAAAAAAATTTTTTTTTTAATTTTTATAAAAGTTCAGTGGTGGACTGGGGATGTGGCTCAAGCGGTAGCGCGCTCGCCTGGCATGCATGCGGCCCGGGTTCCATCCTCAGCACCACATACCAACAAAGATGTTGTGTCCGCCGAGAACTAAAAAAATAAATAAATATCAAAAATTC